CAAATGTCAGCACAGGATCTTAAGTGGATGAGACATACATGTTCACGGATCTGAGTAAGTGGAGAGACATACCATGTTCACGAGCCTAAGTTAAGGAAGACATACCTGCACCGGATCTAAGTAAGGGAAGAGACATACCATGTTCACGGATATGAGTAAATGGATAGAGCATACCCATGTTCCACGGATCTGAGTAAGGTGGAGGTAGATCATACCATGCGTTCACGGATCCTGATAAAGTGGAGAGACATACCATGTTCACGGATCTGATAAGTGGCAGAAGACATACCATGTCACGGCGATCTGACGTAAGGGAGAAGACATACCATGTTCACGATCTGAGTAACTGGAGAGACAATACCATGTCACCCGGATCTGAGTAAGTGGAGAGCCACTACCATGTTCCACACGGATTCTGAGTAAGTAAGTGGAGAGACATACCATGTTCACGGATCTGAGTAAGTGGAGAGACATACCATGTTCACGGATCTGAGTAAGTGGAGAGACATACCATGTTCATGGATTGGAAGACAGCATAGTAATTGTTAATTCTCCCCAAAGTGATCTCCCCTATCAGAATGGCTAAATTCCAATCAACATTTCTCTCTTTTTTTTTTTTAGACAGTCTCGCTCTGTTGTCCAGGCTGGAGTGCAGTGGCACAATCCTGGCTCACTTAAACCTCCCAGGCTCAAACAATTCTTGTGCCTCAGCCTCCTGAGTAGCTGGGATTACAGGCATGTGCCACCACACCTGGCTAATTTTTCGTATTTTCAGAAGAGACAGGGTTTCATCACATTGGCTGGGCTGGTCTTGAGCTCCTGGTCTCACGTTGATTTGCCTGCCTTGGCCTCCCAAAATGCTGGGATTACAGGCATGAGCTACCACACCTGGCTTTCCAATCAAGATCTCAAAAGGACTTTTTGTAGATATAGATGAGCTAATCCTTTATTTATTTATTTTTTTTGAGATGGAGTTTTGATCTTATTGTCCAGGCTGGAGTGCAGTGGTGTGATCTTGGCTAACTGCAAACTCCACTTTCCAGTTTCAAGTGATTCTCTTGCCTCAGCCTCCCGAGTAGCTGGGATTACAAGCACCCACTACCATGCCTGGCTAATTCTTGTATTTTTAGTAGAGATGGGGTTTCATACTGGTCAGGCTGGTCTCAAACTCCTGACCTCAGGTGATCTGCCCACCTTGGCCTACCAAAGTGTTGGGATTACAGGAGTAAACCACCACACCTGGCTAGACAAGCTAATTCTAAAATTAATATGTGCACTGAAACAACTCTGAAAAAGAAGAATTAAGCTGGTGAAATCACATAACAATTGTTAAGACCTACTATAAAACCACAATAGTCAAGACAATGTGGTGTTGGCAAAAGAATGGAAACATAGATATAGATCAAGGGAACAGAACAGATAACCTATATGTACACCGTCTCAAATATGTCCAATTATTTTTTAGCAAAGGGGCAATGGCAATTTAATGCAGGAAGAGTAGGCTTTCAACAAATGTCACACACACACGCAGTGCGCGCATGGGTATCACATACATACGCAGTGCATGCACAAGTATCACACACACACAGTGAGCGCATGGGTAACACGCAGTGCATGCATGGGTATCTCACACATGCAGTGTGCGCATGAGTATCTCACATATATAAACACAGTGCGCACACAAGTAACACACATACATGCAGCGTGCACAGATAACACATATGCTCAGTGCGTACACGGGTATCACACACACACTGCACGCACAGGCATCACACACATATGTGCAGTGTGCACATGGGTATCACACATACATGCAGTGTGCACATGGGTATCACACACATGCGGTGCACGCACAGGTATCACACATACACACACAGTGTGCGCATGGATATCACACAGTGCACGCACCGGTATCACACACATACGCAGTGTGCACACGGGTATCACACACACATGCAGTGTGCACTCGGGTATCATACACCCATACACACAGTGTGCACACGCGCCTCACGTCCTATGACACTGTCAGTTCAGCCTGGAGCTTAGCCATTTTGACTTTTGGTGTTTCCTTCAGGTTTTTTCTGTGTGTATCTACGTGTGGAATAGCTGTGCACACACTGTGTATGTGTGATACCTGTGCGTGCAGTGATACCCGTGTGCGTGCTGCATGTGTGATACCCATGTGCATACTGCGTGTGATACCCGTGTACGCACTGCATGTGTGTGATACCTGTGTGCATACTGCGTGTATGTGTGATACCCATGTGTTCACTGCGTGTGTGATACCTGTGATACGTCACAGGACATGAGGGAGTGCTACGAGCCAGCCACTCGACAAGGTGATGGAGGGGGCTGAGCCCTGGGTCTGGCAGGCCAGCTGCCAGCTGGGGAGGGTCCAGAGTATCTGGATGATCCTGGAAAGGTGTTCTCCCATCCCCACACGGCACACTCCTTTCTGCGGGTACTTTGTTTCCTAACAAATATGACACCAAGCCTCATAATTCAGGTCCAAAGGCCTGGTTGATCATCTGCCCAGAAAGAGTCACGAGTCATCCCCGAGGCCTAGGGACAGCTGTTCTCATGACTAGAGACAAACTGGTCCTGAGGGAGCCCTTCTGGGGAGCGATGCCGGCTGGGACCCACACCTTGGCCCAGACAAGAGTGGACTGGACGGCCCAGCTGACCGCCACAGCCTCACCTGAGCCATGTGGATCTGGGACCGCAGCATTGGGGGCACCCTTGGGCTTTGGGATGCTGTGGAGAGAAGGGCCACTGTGTAGGGCTCAGATGAAAATAGTAAGTGTGAGCATGGGGTGGGGAGTTGCTTCGCATGAGCCCCCAGGAGAGAGCAGCAGGATCCTGATGCTGGGGCTTTTCAGCATTCACAGCGCCCATGCTGTCACCTGGTCGTCCTGGGGCGCCCACCCACCCCTCCGGGAACCCTAAATCTCAGGTGTCAGAGGGCACAAACCCTGAGGCCCTCGGGCTGTGCTCCTCCCCAGTAAGGGTCTCAGCCCCTGGTGGAGCCAGGCCCCGCAGGGCAGCTGTACCCCGCCTGCTGCACAGACTCCTTGGCTGAACAGGAAATGTTCCAGGGCCTGCTGCCAGCAGATGCAAACCCCCCGTACGCTAAGATTTAAGCAGCCCCAGAGCATCTGTGCGGCTTCATCTTGCAGGGTTTCCCTGCACGCCTGTCGCAGAGGCCACTGCGCGGCATCTCTGTCAGGGTGCCCAGGTAGCTGAGTCTGCTGCTTCTATTTCAAGCCTGTTTCAGGGAAGAAAGATGCAGACAGAAACAACTAAACTCGGGCAGGAGCAGTCGGGTGACGCGGCAGCCAATGCAGGTGTGAAGCTGTTAAGTTTTGTTTTAATTTAAGACAGAAACGCTCCCCACCCCCGCTCTGCCCCTTTCCGTGGCAACATCTCTGCCATTTCTGGCAGAGCAGGTGCTGACAGGCAGAAGCGTCAGCTGACTGACACCTGGAGAGGGCTGCACAGCCACGGGGCGTCTCGCTCCTCCACACGCCACTCACGCTCTGCTCTCTGCTGGGGACATTCATGACTAGATGGTGTCCCCAACCCAGGCACAGACTGAGCCCCGTCCCTGCAGACAGGGCTGGACTGGCTGAGCTATGGGGTCTTTGAGGTGGGGGCAGCGGTACCACAGGGCACAGAGTCGAGAGCCAGGAAGGGCAGGTGTATTCAGGAACCCGATATGCGGGGTGTGGCCAGCAGCCTAGTACTAGCAGGGCAGAGGCATGAATCCTAGGAGAGGGGTGTCAGGACAACAGCACGGGCTGGGGCCTGAGGCCGCCCTACAGAGGGCAGGGGAGGCGGGTATCCAGCAAGGGGCAGCCACCCAGGTGGGTTTCAGGAAGGTGCCCCACGGCTCTGTGGGGGCCACAGTGGGGGCCACAGGGGATAACAGCCCACTGCGGGTGGCCCAGACCAGGCAGGACACACCATGCGGCCCTCCACACAAGGTGCGGCCACTGCACCTTTCAGTGTCATTTAATGACACTGAAAGCCACCCACGTCCTACTTGTTTGCTGGAGCTAAAACGTCCAACCACGACCATCGCTCCAACCCTCACATGGTCAGGTGTGGAAACCAAGGTCCAGGGAGGGCGTGTGGCTGTTCCCTCACGAGAGCAGGACCCACAGCCCCTCAGCCTCTGTGCGGGGAGCTCAGTCGTGCCTGTGAGGTCTGAGACGGCGCCACAGAGAAGGAAATGTGCTGAGATGAGACTCAGGATCCCTCAATCTTTGAAAACCTCAGGGCAACACAGTCAATCATGTGTGGTATCAGGTGTGGATACTGGCTTTAGAGAAAATAATTTCCTTTTAAATCAAGATTCCACTTCCCCATAATCCCTAGAACTTTCTCTGTGACGTGAATTCACTTGTGATGAGCAGATTCTCACGTTAAAATCCTCACAGAAATGAGACAATGTCCTTTCTTCTCGTTCACCCTTGTCAGTTTTAGAATAATGTACTAGATGAGGAGGCCGCCACAGAGTACTGCATGGGCGCCCACCTCAGTGTGCAGGGCTCTGTGAATCTCCTCACACCTACTCTGGGGGCCTGGGGTCAGCGGCCCCTCAGGACGGGTGCCAGGGTCAGGCCAGTTCATATTTCTAACCAGACTCCCATCAACGACAATGGCCTCTGCTGCTTTCTCTCTTCCCCTCAGCCAAGGCCATCGTGGTCCACATCAGCCTGTCCCCATGGACGGGGCCCCTGGGAGGAGCTGTGTGTCTGGGTGTGAGTCCCTTTGGTGTTCTGCCCTGGGCTCCCTCTGCCCACTGCTCTGTGAGCGCACAGACGAACCCGCAGCAGGCAGGGCCCAGGACACCAGCCGGCACCTGCAATGTCCAGGAGTCCGGTCCCCTGCATGGAGGGGAGGCTGCCTCCAGCGGAAAGACACACCAGTGTAACCACCCTGGGGGGAGCCCAGTCTGGACACACGGCCACCAGCCTGCCGAGAGCCGAGTGGCTTACCTTGGTCCCCCTCTCGTCTCCCTCTGCGTGGACGGTGTAGGAACAGCCTTCCTTTTGTGGCTTTTCTGAGATAATGCGCACCTGTACTCCGGGCAGCGGGGTCCCCACAGAACCTACAAGAGAGGAGAAACACTGAAAGGGAGGCTGGAGTGAGGAGCCTGGAGGAGAGAAGTGCGCCCTGTGCTCGGATTCCACTGGGCTCCTGTGTGCCACGTGCAGGAGTCTGTGCGGAGGGAGAGATGTACCCTGTGGCCCCGAGAGAACATGGCCTAGGAACCAGCGGGTGAAGAACCACACAATATGTGGCTGGGGAGCACGGTGCGCTCAGGCCCAGTCGATGCCACAGCGATGGCCACACAGCACAGCAGACGCTCACGTGGCACACTGCGCCTGCCCTGCCCCGGGCCCTTCAGATATCACTTTCCCAGTTATCTCCCGAAGCCTCACAGCTGCCCACGGACTCTGGTGTCATTTCCACTTTTATACACTTGCTGGCCAGGGAGCACTGGCGCCTCGCCCTGACGGCCCTGGGGCTGTCCATGATGAGGGGACCTGTGCGTGCCTGGGACACGGGCGGGCTAAGGCAGGACCTGCCCTATGTCTCCAGGAAGGGCTGTCCTGAACTCTGCATGGCAGGTGGACCACACTTTGTAGTAGCTCATTTATTAGACACCCATGATTTGCTCAGTGTATCCACCCCACCTGCACAGTTCCAACGTGGCTAAAATCAAACCTTACACTGGCCAAGGTGGGGGCAGAGCCCAGGTGGCGACACGTGTCCCACCGGCCCACACAGGCTGCCGCAGCCTCGCTCTGCCTGTGGTTTAGGGTGCTGGTGGGACGGCAGAGGCTGCTCATGGAGCGCGGCCCTGGCAATGTGGCATCAGCATGGGCATGACCTGGGGGCAGAGCAGAAGTGGGACTTCCCGTCTACCCTAGGGTGTGAAGCCTTTGCCCTGGCCTGCGTCAGGGAAGTGCCTGAACGCTTATCACGTGTGAGAGTCCACGCTGAGATCTGAGGCACTTCAAGGGTCAACATGGAGGGTCAGTGCAGTGAACTCTGTGATCCACGGGGCGTCCCGGCCTCCAGACGCTTGGTGAAGGGCTGTTGGTGCCTGGCTCGCTCTTGCTGGTCCCGCAGGCAAAGCCGGGCTAGCGTGGTGCACAGAGCGTCACCTAGGGAGTTGTCTGTGGTTCCAGGTGTGCAGACGTCCCGAGTCTCCACTCTGGTCAGAAAACCGTGTCACCACCGTGGGGGGGTGTGGCGGGGCCGGCTTCAGCCCCCTTTCTCCCATTCTTTCTCCTCCTTTATGTTTTGCTTCTGAAGATTTTAAAATGGAGGTGAAACCCGCGTAACACGATTTGCCATTTCACAGTGTGTGTGTTCCGCGCGCACTGCGCAGCCCCCTGCTCGCACCAGTCAGAACTCCCGCATGGCCCACGACCACCACACCCTCCCTCCCCAGACCTGGCCCCACGTCAGCTGTCCACATCCGTGGATTTTCTGTTCTGTACGTTTCACAGGAACAGGAACAACACAGGCGGCCTCTCGCCTCTTCCTGGTGGTGCCTCCACTGGGGTGGGGATGCAGAGCCAGGACATGGCACAGTTGGGGTTGGGGCGGGGCCGCAGGTGGGGAGGCCGTGTGGCCGTCCCACACCATCTGCAGAGGCTGAAGAGGCTCCGGGATGGTGTCCGGATTCTGCAGAAGAAGAGCAGTGGCACTGCCCGTGAGAGACTGAGGGGGGGTCCCCACACTCCAGGTGCCATTCATGAGATATTGAGGGAGGGGCCCCCGCCCTCCAGGTGCCGTTTGCTGTGCCCCGGGCATGTGACAGTGTAGATGTGAGAGCTCAAGGGAGTGAACAAAGGCCGGCCCTGCGAGGGCCAATGTGGATGGGCGCGGCCGCAGGCAGGTGGGGGGCACTGCCTTCCTGCCACGGCCCACCTCTAAAATCTCTGTCAGCCAGCCCCTCCCTGATAACTCTGACTGGCCTGCGGCCCCTGTCCTGGTGTCTGGGACGCCCTGGTGCTCTGCGTGCCTGGGACCCAGGGAAGGGAAACCACCAGTAAGGTCCTGGAGCTCCCTGTCAACACCACAGAGCGGCCCAGGAGCTGTGAGCTCTGAACTCAACCTCCAATTAGAGTGTGATTAGGCCCAGCAGTCATTGGCCATGAATTATTCATCTCCCTCCACAGGAACCGCACAGGGCACGCCTGCCGTAACCATAACCGCGACAGAGCTCACCCTCCACCCGGCTTCTCTCTCTCCCCCAAGCATGGAGGGGGCACTGCGCAGTGAGGCCAAGCGAGCCCAGAGCCTGCGGCTGGAGCCGACCCGAGTGCCAAAGCCACGGCCACCAGGGTGGGGGTTAGAGCCTGAGAGTGAGGAAGGCTCTTCTCCACTGTGCCCTCCGGAAACACGGCTCAGGAGGCTGCATTTTGGAGTTTCTGTGGGGCCTGTTGGATTTAATGCTGAGGCGACTTTACTTTTTTTCCAAACCAAAGAACTGACACTGCTGGTGATTTAGAGGCAAGGACAAAATCAGATACTTGATTCTGTTTTAGAGAAGAGGGAATGTCCCCAGTGCCCAGGCTTTGTCTTTGGCACCTGAGGAAACCTGCAGTCGGTAGCTGAAGACTCGGGGACTGGTGCTCTCGCATTTCTTGCCCAATGACCCTGAAGCTTCAGGGTCTCTGGATCCCCTTTCTCAGCCGGGGACCCCTCTCCCTGTACCATCTGTCTGGGGCTCCTTCCTGTTCGCCTGCGAGTTCTGATTCCAGTGCGGGGAGGGTGAGCCTCCCCCAGGCCTCTGGCTTCCTGTCTGCTCCTGATGCCCTCGGTGTGGACAGCGGTCCCTGGGCTGCTCCTGATGCCCTCGGTGTGGACAGCGGTCCCTGGGCTGCTCCTGGCACCCTCGGTGTGGACAGCGGTCCCTGGGCTGCTCCTGAAACCACTGAAGAGGCCACCGTGCTCCTGGCAGCGTGACTGCCTGGGAAGTGTGTGTGTGTCTGCGTCACTCACTAGCCGCATGACCCTGGGCGGGCTCCATGGGTTCTTGTGTGTGAATGGAAAAAATGACCCCACAGCAGGGGCTGTTTTGAGAAAATCAAATGAGGACGCCCACAAAGCAATTCTATGTAAACAGTCATCGTCAACTGCAAACTCTCTGTGTAGACAGATTCTGAATACACAGAACCTGTCCTGCTCACACGTCCGGAACAAAGAGAGGACAAAGCCTGGAGCCCGTTACGCTTTCAGTCCTCACTTGCCTGCAGCCTGCAGCCCTCAGCGAGCTGAGCTCTGTTCATTCCGTCCATATTACGTGGTGACTGTGGCCGGTGGCACTGGACAAAACCAGCACATCCTACTAAGGACGACGATGAGGACAGAGACTCGACGGACTGCTCACATTTGATTTCAAGGTCCCCATCTTATTTCCACCAGGGAGCTCTAGCCACCAAAGAAAGAGTTGGTGCCATAGCCACCGTGGGGACGTGTGAGTCAGCCCAGGGCAGGGGCCACCAGCACTGATGATGGTTTCCTGGGGTCTGAGACTAAAGCACGAGCCGGCCCACGGCAGGGGCCACCGACACTGATGGTGGTTTCCTGGGGTCTGAGACTAGGATCTATTTCTCACCACTCGCATTGACTTCTTTTCACAACACGCCCCCACCTGCCCACTACCCTGGGCCCTGTCGCAGCAGGCTCTGCACTCCGTGTGGCCACCCCACTGGCAGCTCTGCACGGCAGCCGAGGATCTCACTGTCATGGCCCTGTCATTCTGCTCATGACGACCCAGGCAAACAGAAACCTCCCTTTACACTCAGAATACACCTAGCAGCCCCCATGGCTCCCCAGGCCCAGCAAAGGGCCCTAAGCCTACAGCCTCTCCTCCTCCCAGCCCAGCAGCCAGCCCGCCCTCACACTCACCCTGCAGGCCCCAGCACCATATCGCTGCCTGGCACCAGCTGGTCCCCGCCTGGGCCTGGACTCCCATGTCCAGGCTTCCCCTAGAGCCCAGGAATCAGGCAGGCATGGAATGAGCCAAAGGGCACGCGGGAAGAGCAACGGGACAGAGCAGAGTCCGGGAGCCGGCCCCTGAGGAGTCAACGGGACAGAGCAGAGTCCGGGAGCCCCCCTGGAGTCAACGGACTTTCAACAAAGACCACCCGTTCCATGGAGAAGGGAATCTTTTCAACAAACAGTGCTCAAAAGCTAGACGTCCACACCAAAGAGGAACTGTGGCCCGTATCCTGCACTAAGTATAAAAATGAACTCAAAGTGGATCACCGTCCTAAATGTAAGAGCTGAAACTATTCTCTGTGACTTTGGGCTAGGCAAGGATTTATTAGATAGGACCTCATATAGACAATTCGTAAAACAAATTAATAAACTGGGCCAAAATCTAAAACTCCTGATTTTAAAGATGCTGTTCGGTGAATGGGAAGACAAACCACAAGCTGGAAGATGGTATTTAAAATCACACAGCTGACACTCGCGTCCAGAATTTTAAAAAGCTCTCAAAACTCAAGAAAACAAATGCCCCAATTGAAAATGGAATGACAAGAACAGGAAGAGGTGCTCAACGTCACCGTCATGAGAGAATCATGAACGCAACAAGACACCCCCACCGCCCACTGGAGCACGGGTGCTCCTGACCTCCCGCCCATCGCAGGGGGAAGGGGAGGGCGCAGCCGCCCTGGGGAACAGCTCGGCAGCTTCAGACAACACAGCAATCTCTCTCCTAGGTATCTGCCCAAGTGAAATAAAAACCCACGTTCACACAGAAATATGCACACAAATGTTTATAACATCTTACGTGTCATTGCTTACAACAGGGTCACAAGCGGTGGCACATCCACGCGACAATGCCACTCAGCAGTGAAAGGCGCAAACCCTGATGCACACAGCACAGGCGACTGCGGGCGGAAGCACCACGGATGCCACTCAGCAGTGAAAGGCGCAGACTCTGATGCACACAGTACAGGTGACTGTGGGCGGAAGCAGACAGGCTCAGAGGCCACATCCTGCAGGATTCAGCCACGTGACCTCCCAGAAGCAGCAACACCACAGGAAGAGAAACAGGAACGAGGGGCTGGGACTCGGGGTGGATGGGGTGCTAAGCACTAGGAAGGAAGTTTCTGAGGTGAGGAACCCTTCTCTACCTCTATCTTGACTGTGATGATGTTTCTTAAGACTCTCAGAGCTGCACGCCAGAGGGGTGAATTTTACTGTGTCGCAGGTAAGCAGCTGCACAGACAGACGTGCGGGACGGTCTCACTTTTACGTCTGCACTGAGATCTCTATTCTGCTCTGGACAGACTGAACGGGCCACACAGAAACAAGCAGGGCGGCCCCCAGCAGTGGGCTCCGCTCCCAGAAGTCCCTGTGGAGAACCCGGGGCTCGAAGGCTTGGGTCAGATGAAAGTCAGAATGGGATGTGTTAGGGAGGGCTGGACGAGAGGGGCCCAGTACCAGGAGCCCACGTCTAGAGAAGGAAGACAGGTGCCTGACTCATCCCACCCTGCCCACCACACCCACCGGCCCTGGCACTGCTGCTGGCGCTGCGTGGCACCCGGACTCCAGACAGATGGAGGCTCCCACCACAGATGTGGTCTGGAGCCAGCAGCATGGCCCCCGGCCTTCCTCTGAGACGTGCACCGACGCCTGTGTTCCAGGTGTTGCTGTTCTTCCCATTGTCTCCCCAGTCATCCAGCCAGGGGCCAGCACAGACACCCCCCACCCACCCCTGACTGAGACTTGGGAGAAGGCTGATTGGCCCAGAGGGGACAGGTCACCGTGCATCCTGAGTGCTCTCCTGGCCTGGTGGCCTGTCCCACAGGGCAGCATCCTTCACGCCGCCTTTCATTCCAAAGGTGGGTGGTTTGGGACTGGCCCACCTTGCGGGGCTCAGGGCAAAGTGGGAGAGGAACACAGCTGTGGGAAATGCTGGTACCTGGCAGGCGTGCTGTGGCGGTCAGGGGCCCGGACAGAGCCATGCCGATCTCAGTCATGCCGTACCGCTCCAGCAGGGTGTGGCCCGTGATGTTCTTCCACTTCTCCAGCACCGGGATGGGCAGGGCAGCTGAGCCTGAGACCATGAGCCTACGCGGCACAACCAAAGGCAGGTTTAGCCCCTTGGAACGCGGCCATCGCGTGCAAAGGCGGCAGGTTTAGCCCCTCGGGACGCGGCCGTCGCGTGCAAAGGTGGCAGCTTTAGCCCCTTGGGACGCAGCCGTCGCGTGCAAAGGCGGCAGGTTTAGCCCCTCGGGACACGGCCGTCGCGTGCAAAGGTGGCAGGTTTAGCCCCTCGGGACGCGGCCGTCGCGTGCAAAGGCGGCAGGTTTAGCCCCTCGGGACGCGGCCCTCGCGTGCAAAGGCGGCAGGTTTAGCCCCTCGGGACGCGGCCCTGTCGCGTGCAAAGGCGGCAGGTTTAGCCCCTCGGGACGCGGCCCTCGCGTGCAAAGGCGGCAGGTTTAGCCCCTGGGGACGCGGCCCTCGCGTGCAAAGGCGGCAGCTCCTTCACGAGAACAGGAGCCCCAGGCGTGGGTCCAGCACCACCGTGCGACACCTGGGACCGATGCTGCAGTCTGCACTAGGGCGTCACTTTGTTTTTTGAAAATGATTTGTTGGGTTTATTTTAGAAGGAAGCAGGTCCAACAGCTAATGAGGGTAAACAATGTGCTTAGGGTCCGTGGTGTCCCCTGCAAAGTTCCTGCGCTGTTCATAACCACGCTCAAGAACAACAGTGACCGTGCAGCTGCTCACCACACAGCTGATCACAGATGAACAGCCACGGTGCTGTGGGCCACAGCCAGGCACATCTGGGGACTAGAGCCAGCTCAGCTTGCAGGGCTCCACAGGAGAACGTGGACATGGATGAATGGCTGCAGCACCCAAGGGGCGGGGCCGGGCACACCCAAGGGGCTCAGAACCGCCCACAGAGCTGGAGCCGTCTTGGCTCACATGCTTGGCTCAGGCTTGGCAGGAGAACACAGGTCCTGAGAACCCTGAGTGCCCGCGCCGCTCACACAGCATTTCCTGCAGCCTCACGGGCAGTAGGGAAGGTGCTTTTGTTTGCGGTTTGAGCAGAGTGGTCCCTGCTGCTGCCCCTGCTTTACGAGGAGGCACCACTGACAGGACCCTCGCTGGGAGATCAGGTGGCTGAGGTCTCGTTGCCTCCGTCATCCCGGAAATCACCTGACCCTCTCCTTCACTGACCTCGTTCTGCCCTCTGTTCCTTAGATTTGGTAAAACATGCTGCTCATCTTGCTCAGCTCGGGGTCTTCCCAGCCCCAAGGCATCCCAGCAGTAGCAGCAGCAAAACCATGGGCTCCGGTGGCCTCACAGAAAAGGGGCGAAGGAACGGTAAAGAGAGCAAAGTGGGATCAGACATGTGCCTTGCACAACCCGGAATTCTCTTCAGGAACGAAGGTGCCGCTTCCCTGTGCACTTCCTGGGGACTGGGAGGAGTGCGCGGCAGCCACAGACACGCACACGACCCACTGGAAACTGGATGACAGTCAAGCCTTCAGTTCCTGCAGTGCGCCTGCCACACCACCTCTCCCCCTCACAAAAAGAAAAAGTACCCCACCCACGACTCTGCTGGAGATGAGGGCCTGGGATGCGTGTGAAGACTCACTGAGCCACGCGTGTGCATTTCCAGTTAGTGAACCGCACTCCAACAGCCACGAGGGAAAAGAAACGTTCCCACGCCTGCAGGTTCATGCAGGAGTGCAAAGCAAACACGCCCCTGAGTGGCCCAAAAGACCAGCTCGTCCTGGGAGGGAGGGGTTTATCCAGGGAGCTGGGAGGGGAGGAGCAGGGCTGAGAGGAAGAGCAGCAGAACATGCCCCAGGCAGGAGGCGTCACAGGGCTGCCCACGAAGGCATTGCATAGTAGAGGCAGGAGCCGTGGGACATGTGGGCAGACGAGGCATGAGTGAGCGGGTCAGCTTACCGTCCTCACCCTTGTCCTTCAGACTCCATGACAGAGAGAGAGATGGACCGGAAAGAGAGAAGACAGATAGATGGAGACAAAGAGAGATGGAGAGATAGAGACAGATGCAGAGACAGCAGAGATACAGAGAGACAGATGGAGAGACAGACAGGAGAGACAGAAGACAGAGAGATAGATGGAGAGACAGATGAAGAGAGATGGAGGGACAGAGAGAAGACAGAGACAGACGGAGAGCCAGACAGGAGAGACAGAAGACAGAGAGATAGATGGAGAGATAGAGACAGATGGAGAGAGAGAGACAAAGAGGACAGAGAGAGATAGAGAGACAGAGAATGACAGAGAGAGCGATACAGAATCCAAGCAGCTATGGATGTCGATGAGATTATAGATATACATACAGACGGGTAGAGAGAGAGGGATGGGGAGAGAAAGAGAGACAGGGAGAGAGAGAGAGAGAGATGAGGAGAGAGAGAGAGAGATGGGGAGAGAGCGAGGGAACATTGAAAGGAAATGGAAAGCAGTGCTTCCCAGAACTTAGTAGAAGTGATTTATTAGAAATAAGTCGTATCTGTTGATCTTTAAGACTTTCTGAACGGGAAAGTGGGCTCTTTTCACTTACCTAATTTTTTCTTCACAAACTGCATGCAAGAAATCCTGGGCGTGCGGCTGGGTAAAATGCCTGTCATAGTACTCCATCAGCTTGGTGTATATTGTAGGCACTGCCATGAAGACATTGATCCGTGGCATTTCAGAACTTAAGAACTTTTCCCAAACCTATGGAGGAAAGGAAACACTCGGTAGGAAGATGAGCAGGCAGAGACCTGCGGCGGAGGAAAGGAAGCGCTCGGTAGGAAGATGAGCAGGCACTGAGGCCGCGGCAGAGGCTCCTGGCTCCAGGCACAGTGTTCTCGCGTTCTCATGGTTTACATTCAAGAGTCTGCAGTGCCTCCCGTCTAAAAGGGGTGCCTCAGACTCTGACCCCTTCCCACAGAAGCCATGTTGCGCGGGACAACTGCATTTGGCCTCTGGGGGGAAGAGCAATCGTGAGTAGAGCTGGCAAAGGCCTTTGGGATCTGCAGCCTGGACAGACGTGAGTGGCCAGGCTCTTCCAGGTACACAGAGGAAGGCGGATGTGCACCTTGGGGAAGCTGACAGGAGGCCCTGGCGGCCGCCCGCCCGCAGACCCGAAGTCAGCACACTTCCCAGTATGCAAAGGCATGCAGTGACTAGTGAACGGTGAAGTCTTTTATTTAAAAGAGTCATGTGAATTTTATATTTTACTCCATAATAAACATTTCTTGCTTACACATAAGTATGTTTTAAGTTCCTCACTTGTTAGCGGTTTCTCGCATTGCCCATAAAGCTTCAGGAAGACCTGGTGAGCCACGCTCGTTCCATGGCCCTCTCTACCCCCAGTGTTCCACAAGGAGTCCCGAACAGTGTGGCGGAGGGCACTCTTTGTGCTGTGGGGTCAGCACCTAAGGGAGGCTCATGACACACAGGACAGATCTTGCCCACTGGGCGCGGCGCTCACGCCTGTAATCCCGGCACTTTGGGAGGCTGAGGTGGGAGGATCCCTTGAGCTCAGGAGTGTGAGACCAGCCTGCGCAACATAGGGAGGCTCTGTCTCTACAAAAATAATTCAAAAGGAAAAAAGTAAAAATAAACATAAAAAATGTTCAACATCTGGCAGGGTGTGGTGGCTCACACCTATAATCACAGCACTTTGGGAGGCTGAGGCAGGCAGATTAGTTGAGGTCAGGAGTTCAAGACCAGCCTGGCCAACATGGTGACACCCCATCTCTATAAAAATACAAAAAATTAGCTGGGCCTGGAGCTGTGCACCTGTAATCCCACTTGCTGAGATGGCTGAGGCAGGAGAAGTGCTTGAACCCAGGAGGTGGAGATTGCAGTGAGCCGAGACTGAGTCACTGCACTCCAGCCTGAGTGACAGAGCTACTCTGACCTCAAGGGATCCACCTGCCTCAGCCTCCCAAAGTGCTGGGATTTCAGGTGTGAGCCACCATCGCCCAGCCAGTTTGCCAGTTTCTTAAACATTAAACAAGAGGCCAGGCACGGTGGGCTCAAGCCTGTAATCCCAGCACTTGTGGGAGGCTGAGACAGGGAGGATCACGAGGTCGGAGACTGAGACCATCCTGGCAAACATGGTGAAGACCCCGTCTCTACTAAAAAATACAAAAAACTAGCTGCCGAGGTCGGCGGCGCCTGTAGTCCCAGCTACTCAGGAGGCTGAGCAGGAGAATGGCGGGAATCCGGGAAGGCGGAGCTTGCAGTGAGCTGAGATCCGGCCACTGCCACTCCCAGCTTGGGACAGAGTGAGACTCTGTCTTCGAAA